GTATTGAGTCACTTCAAGATCTCTTTGTTTGAGGTTTCTGGCTTTGTTACGAAGTTCAAACAACTGAGATGCATTCTCGAGGTCAGAATAGGCTAAAGTCACAGCATCCCATATCTCCTTTGCTATGGGATAAAACAGAAATGTGTCACCAATGTTGTCTTCCATGGAATGGATTAGCCAAGCCATAACCATCGAGTTTTGAGTGTCCCAAGTGGAGTATGTCGGATCCGTGGGGTTTGGTTTGGGAATTGTTCCATCCAAATACCCAATTTTGCCTTTGCCTCTAATCACCATTTGTGCTGATCGGGACCATTGGAGAAAATTCTTCCCATTCAGTTTGTGAGTTGTGATTTGCATAGACATAGGTGAGTTTTCAATGACAGCAGTGGGAATGATTGTGGAGACAGTTTGTGAGGTACCCGAGGTAACCTCAGTTCTACCCCCTTCGCTCATTGTTTAGTTTTTCTCAACTCACACGTAGCCTTTAACGCTCTGATACCATAAAAGCTAAATGGAGGAGAAAAATGATCTGTACATTGCTATATTAATCAGTAAAAAACTTGTTTACTTTACAGGAAAACTATTCTTTATATAGCCTAGGAGAATGAGTATAACTAACCACCTAACTTCCTAAAAATAAGGAGATAAAAAAGCTAACAAATACACCAGCATAACAACCCTAAAAACCCGGATAATCTAACCATATCTGCTAACAAGTATTTATATTAAAACTCTACTTTTATTTTTGTAGTGTTTTATCATTATGAAAATGTTGTTTGAATTATTTTATTGTGTTAGTTCAATTATAATTATGTTCTAAGTTTAATTTTGTCGAGATAATGACATAGCCATATTATGAGGATTTAGTTTATTAAAAATGTTATTATGATTGTCATATTTAGGTTGATGTATTTATTTATGCACTTAATGCTTTTAAAATTTATGATCAACTTTTTGAATGAACTAAGGATTAAAATGAAACCGATGGGAGATTTTTGTGACATAGCTCCAAAATAAATACCGTAAAATCTGGGATAGTATAGAGATATAACTATATGTTTTTATGTGATAATTTGTGAATCCATTGAACTTAATAAATATTTTTTAGAATTTAATCCACGTAGAGATATTGTGGATTTTTATGAAAATGTATGTTTTGTGTATAACTTGAGAAAGAGTACATGACACAAAAGAGGATTCAACCATTAACTTAATATGATCTCAAAATCATGATAATGTTTAAATAAATTAAATCCGATTAATATTAGTGAAATCATTATTCATGACATTTCTTTAATTATCGTTTGATCCTTTAAATATAAACTCTATTATTTCTGCATAGCTTCTTATTTTTTTTATTATATCGATATTTTAAATTTTGTCATTTTAATCAAAATCAATCAAAAAAATACATCTTTCGTTTCCTCAAATAAAGTAAAAATTATCTAATTTTGGTGCTTAGTAAATTTACTATCTCTGTGGGACGATACTTTTACTCATCATTATATTACTTATTCGATTTTGTTCACTTGCAAATTAAAGCAACATTTATTTTTGCCATGAAACTTTAGTTTTTTTCATTTTGGTCCCCTTTTTTGCTTCTTGCCTAAAACTCTATTTTTTCACTTTTTTCTTTTTGGGTTTTTGTATTCATATTTTATATGCTCTTAATAATGATACGGTGATTAAGGCCCCGTTTGGTTGGGAGATTCAGGTCTAAAGATTAGAGTCATGAGCTCAAATTCCTGTTTGGTGTCATATTGGACTGAGACCACAACTTGAATCACGGATCAATTTTTAGATCATGATTCAAAATCAGGCCCTCCCTTAATTCAGCCCAAGACTCGAATCTTTGCACAGTAACAGTACTGTGCTCACTGGAGTAATTCCTCGTGACCAACCCCCAACCTAACTCCACGTTATTGCGCAGAGAGCTCAGCCTTCGGTCGTGTCTTGGTAGAGAATCTCTGCGCCTTCTCTTATTTCTGCTTCTTCAAACAGGAGGGTGGGGCTGACGGCCTTTTTGGGACGGCGTTTCCTGGGTTGCTCGGCCTGAGATCTTGTTTTTTTTTGTGTGTTTTTTGCTCTCTTTTACATATCTCAAAGTACAGATCTGGTTTTTCATTTTTTTAAAAAAAAATTGGGCATTTTTCTAAATTTTGAGATGTTGAATGAGATTAGATTTGTTGTTTGTTTTTATCTGAAGATTTGATCTATTGTTTTTATTGTTCCGGTGTCCGATTATAGAGTTTGGCTGTACTTTGAGAAAGGTGAAGAAGACGTGTCTCTCTTTTTTTTCTTTTTCTTTTTTGTTCTTTTGCATTTTTCATTTAAAAATTTGTTGATTTATTTAATTTTTAATTTTTTGAAGTCGTATTTTTATTTTCAATTTATTACTTCTTTTTTTTAATAAAATAATCATTTTTACTAATTTAATTATAATTTATACCTTTTATTAATTTAAAATCAATGCCACATCGTTAGGATTATAGACATAAATAGATTGAGGAGATATTTTGGTTCATTTTTTTATATATTAGAGGATATTTTAAACTGTTTTAAAAAATGACAATTTAAAATAAAATACATACTTCAAGAGATATTTATGAAATTAATCATACTTTAAAAGTGATGATAACTCTTCAAGTAAGAATTATTAATGCTAGTAATTTTTTTTTATCATTAGATTAATTTTTTAATAGTGCAGGTGATACAGAAGGGTCAGTTGTTACAAGAGGTAGTGTTAGTCATACAGAGATGAGTCGTTTTAGGGATCGCCTTGCGAATGAAATGTGGGTGGAATACCAGGAAAGTCGTGGGAGACAAGTTTGATATATGCTTGGCTTGTTATATAATTTCATTCACATTTTTTCTATTTATTTCGTAATTAACTTGTTATAATTTTGAGTTAAAATTATTTGTATAATTTTTTTAAGTACTTCATTTTTTTTATTATATAACGAATTATATTTTTTTAAATTACATGTAACGAATTATATTTATTATATAATTTTTTTAAATTACATTTATTTTGGTCATGATTCAAATTCAGAAAACAAGGCAACCAAACACTGGTTCGAATCACATTTCAGGTTAGAATCATAATCATGCATATACACATTCAAACGAAGGTTCTAATCACTATGAATCATGATTCAAATCATGAATCATTGATCTGAATCAAATGACTCAAATCACCCTGATTTCAATCCTTATACCAAACGGACCCTAAAACTTATGGATTACTCTTCACGTACATCACCCATCGAGTCAACTAGTATTTAAAAAGAAAAATGCTCCACTGATGTTGTTGGCTTGTTCCTAATTATCTATTTTGGATGAACAAAAAGAAATCTATCTATTACCCTTCTATAAAAGAGATTTTATGGACGGCCATTTCACAAGTTTTTTTCTACATTAACTCAAAACAAAACAAAAAGAAAATTACATTAATTAATATTTTTTTTTGTTTTCTCTTTTTTTTCCCCTCACTTCTTTCTTCCTTCTCTTTTTTTCTTTCTATAATACATTTTTTTCTTTCTATTATACATTTTTTTTCTCCTCACTTTTTTGTGTTTTTGTTAAAATACTACTTTCCTCTCTCTTATTATGCAAATACTAGAAACATCCCATATTTATAAAAACAGACTCAAAATACCCCATTAAAAAATTAATATTTTTAAAATATCAAGATTACTTGTCCTAATCTTTATTAAATACAGTTTAAAACATTATTAAATCAAAATGTTAAACAAAATCAATTTTTGAAAAATGAAAAACTCTCAAAATAATTGAAGTATTTTTTTTATTGCAATATTTATTTGAGCATTTTTTTAATTTTTTATTTAAATTTTTAGTTAAATCATATTTAATATAATATTTAATATAATTTGGGAGGGGTAATAATGGCATGTTTAAAAATTTAACTGTTCCAAGGAGTATTTTGGGCATGCTTTTATAAATATAGGCGGTGTTTTAGACATTTACATTATAAGAGAAGTAAAAGTAATGTTTTAATAAACACGGGAGTGTAAAAGTAATGTTTTAATAAACACGGGAGTGTTTTGGGTATTTTTCCTTAATATTTTACTAATATGAAGATATTAAAATTACCTTTAAAACTATTTTAACAAATTAACTGTTTAGACCAAAATCAGAACTTAATAATCTTTCGAACATCCTAAAAATTATTAATTTGTAATTTTTGAGGAATGATTATGTAAACTACTATCAAAATTATAAGTGCTAAAAATATTGTCCCATAAAACATCCATAATATATCTATGGATAGTTTTGTGTTCATTATCTATTGGTAAATAAAAATCTCCATCCTTAGGTTAATTATTAAATCAATATATAAGTACTACTAATTATTTACTTTAGCATTTTAGAAAGTTGTGTATAATCCAGTATTTAATAAAAATCCATATTGTTTCGAAATATTCATCGTCATGATTGTATATCAAAACCTTAACAATATGAAGATAGATATTTCAATGCTTAATCCTATTCTTTTCATTTTGTTATGGGAATTTTGGAAAATTTTAATCCTTAATTCTATTGTATTAATCTCAATCAAAACAAAACAAGATCTAATAAATTGTTTATACACACAGAGGGCCACATTTTTCTAAGAGTGGAGTTGAAATATAACATTTTTTTAAAAATATTTTAGAAACAAAAAAATATATTGTAATTATTATAATGATATATTCACAAATAGTATAAAATTAATAATTATTTTAAAATTTTTAACAATTCACTATTTATAAAAATATTCAAAAGTTATTCTTATTTGCTATATTTGAGGGCTTCGGGGGACTTGGCTTCAAATCCACGCTAATTATTATTTCGCAGCAGATTGTGCTTTAAGAAAGAAAAAAAAAAAAAATTATTCAAAATATTCCCCACCTTGTCTGCACAGAAAAGAAACGAATAACATAATATAATTAATTCACTTCAACCTTTTCTAAAAAAAAAAAAAAGAAAAAAGAAAGAAAGAAAGAAAAAACAAAAAACAAGAAAGAAAGTTCTGAGCGTTGTTCCTTTTTCTTCTGCCAACAAAGCACGCATCGAAGTGAGCGTGTGAGCCTCTTAATGGCCGAGCAGGCGGCGTCTGATGTGTACGCGCCGCGGAGCTCAGTGCAGCAGCTATGGCGGGCGGTGGCGAACTGGTTCGGCTTCTTCTTCGAGATTCTTCTTCAGATCCTCAGAGGCACTCCCTCTTGTCTCCCTCACCTCCTTTCCTTCCTTGGTCTTACCCATCAAAATCATCGCCTTCTTTCTTCTTCTTCTTCTTCTTCTTGTTCGTTTAAGCCTGTGTCCGCCTCCGAGCTCTCTCTCAATGATTCCGACTCTTCCGTCGAAGATGGAGTCGCCGGCGACAGTGATCCTGGTGAGAAGCTCACGGTATGTGCATCTTTGTTGATCTTGTTGAAAAAAATAAAAATTAGTTGAAATGATTTTCGTTGCTCTTTTGAACCGTTTAGGAATTGTCGAAATTACTGTTAGAACTGTTTCGGTCTTTTATGCAATTGCAATGCAGTAATCTGACTCTTATTGGTGAATCAGATTCTTATTGGTGATGATGAAAATACTGTGATAAGAATTTTCTTGATTCTTTATGAATTAAATGATGCCTAATTGCACATTTTCAATTTTTTATTTATTAATTGTGGACTTTTTAAGTGTTGAGATTAATAGCCAGTTTTATCAGCATCGTCAAAATTCATTTGTCCAAAAAAAACAAAAAAAGAAGTTCATCAGCATCATCCTGTCAAGTTCTAAAGGAAGAATTTGGACAAGGACTTGTGTAGATAAAGGGAATATGAAGTCTGGTTTACTATGCTAAAACTGTGGGAGCTTCTTGTGCATTGCATTTCTACTTTTCGGATCCTGAATTTGACGATTCTTGGCTATGGAATATAACGGATGTAAATTAATGGATAATAGTTAGGGTCCCAAATGTCAAAATTTAATAGTTTTTGGTCCAATTTGAAAACAAGAAAAATTCAGGAGCATTTGTGTGAAAATCGAAGGGTGTTCTATGCGTATTAATTGATATCAATTACCTATTGAACTGCAATTGCAATAATTTTTTAAATTCAGGGTCCTTGAAAGTTTGGAGTCCAAGTTATCGAACACCGACATATACAAGTTCAGTGCAAAAAACTATTGGTATTGAAGATTCAGCCAAAGTCAAGAAATCAACTTTAGTATTCTGAAAACTTTCCTGTTTTGTTTCTTTTCCTGTTTGTTTAATTTTGTTTCTCTTGTTATTTCCCAATTCTTTTATCGGTGTCCTCATTGTGCGAAGAAATTAATGGAATAATTCCGATTATTCTTATTCATAAACAACGAAATACAACCTAATATATAGGCTAGGGTGGCTGACAAACCAGTCCACCGAAAAAGGGAAATAGAATCCCTGAAAATTAGGAATTTCACCAAATCAGGAAAAAAAACCAGAAACTACAAAATCTAAATGAGGAAAACAGAAACTGAAATCTATTCTAAGAAAATAAATAACTTCCTAACTAAATGCAAGGGTCGGCTACTTTCTACACTCCCCCTCAAGCTGGGTTGTATATATTATACAAACCAAGCTTGGAGTTCAATTCATCGAAGCTGACCCTTGGAAGTGCCTTAGTGAGAATATCAGCAATCTGAAGTCTTGTTGAAACATAGCTTAGCTGCACAATCCCATTGTTGACCTTCTCTGAGATGAAGTGTCGATCAATCTCAATGTGTTTTGTTTTGTCATGATGCACGGGATTTTTAGCGATGCTAATAGCTGCCTGACTGTCACTAAACATCTTAATTGTGTCCCTCGTCTCAACCTTGAGCTCCCTTAATAGCCTTTGAAGCCACATTCATTCACATATTCCTAGTGCAAGAGCACGATATTCTGATTCTGCACTACTCGGAGAGACAACAACTTGTTTCTTACTTCTCCACGTGACGAGATTTCCCCAGACGTATGAACAGTAACCAGTCATTGACCTTCGTGTCCTCATTGTGCGAAGAAATTAATGGAATAATTCCGATTATTCTTATTCATAAACAACGAAATACAACCTAATATATAGGCTAGGGTGGCTGACAAACCAGTCCACCGAAAAAGGGAAATAGAATCCCTGAAAATTAGGAATTTCACCAAATCAGGAAAAAAAACCAGAAACTACAAAATCTAAATGAGGAAAACAGAAACTGAAATCTATTCTAAGAAAATAAATAACTTCCTAACTAAATGCAAGGGTCGGCTACTTTCTACACTCCCCCTCAAGCTGGGTTGTATATATTATACAAACCAAGCTTGGAGTTCAATTCATCGAAGCTGACCCTTGGAAGTGCCTTAGTGAGAATATCAGCAATCTGAAGTCTTGTTGAAACATAGCTTAGCTGCACAATCCCATTGTTGACCTTCTCTGAGATGAAGTGTCGATCAATCTCAATGTGTTTTGTTTTGTCATGATGCACGGGATTTTTAGCGATGCTAATAGCTGCCTGACTGTCACTAAACATCTTGACTGCGCCCCTCGTCTCAACCTTAAGCTCCCTTAATAGCCTTTGAAGCCACATTCATTCACATATTCCTAGTGCAAGAGCACGATATTCTGATTCTGCACTACTCGGAGAGACAACAACTTGTTTCTTACTTCTCCACGTGACGAGATTTCCCCAGACGTATGAACAGTAACCAGTCATTGACCTTCTATCAGTTAATTCTCCTGCCCAGCTAGCATCTGTGTATATCTCAACCTCACGTTTTTCTAATTTTTGGAAGAGCAAACCATGTCCAGGAGTCATCTTTAAATATCTCAAAATTCTGTTCACTGCTTCTAAATGATCCTCACTCGGGTTATTCATGTGTTGGCTCACTACACTGACCGAGTAGGCAATATCAGGTCTTGTGTGTGATAGGTAGATTAGTTTGCCCACAAGTCTCTAATATCTTCCCTTGTCAACTGGATTACTTTCTTCATTTCTGTTTGGCTTTTTGTTGGGATCCATGGGTGTGTCAGCAGGTTACACCCAAGAAAGCCAGTTTCACTTAACAAGTCTAAGATGTACTTTCTTTGGGATATTACAATTCCCTCCTTCGACCGAGCCACCTCCATTCCCAGAAAATATCTGAGAGTCCTGAGATTCTTGATCTCAGCTGGGTTGTATATATTATACAAATCAAGCTTGGAGTTCAATTCATCGAAGCTGACCCTTGGAAGTGCCTTAGTGAGAATATCAGCAATCTGAAGTCTTGTTGAAACATAGCTTAGCTGCACAATCCCATTGTTGACCTTCTCTGAGATGAAGTGTCGATCAATCTCAATGTGTTTTGTTTTGTCATGATGCACGGGATTTTTAGCGATGCTAATAGCTGCCTGACTGTCACTAAACATCTTAATTGTGTCCCTCGTCTCAACCTAATAATTTCCTCTGAGTCATCACCTGTCAAAATGATATCGTCTACATATACTATGAGAATAGCTATCTTGCCTCCAGAATTGGATTTAACAAACAATGTATGATCAGCTTGACACTGATGGTATCCATTTGTAATCATAGTTATGGCAAACCTGTCAAACCAAGCACGAGGAGATTGTTTCAAGCCATATAAGGATTTCTTCAACTTACAAACAAACCTGCTGTTTGAATTATTTTCCAAGCCCGGAGCTATAGTCATGTAGACTTCTTCTTCAAGGTCCCCATTCAAGAAGGCATTTTTAACATCAAGTTGGTATAGAGGCCAATCTTGATTCACTGCAAGAGAGAGTAGAACTTGAACCGTAATGAGCTTGGCAACGGGTGCGAAAGTTTCCTGGTAGTCTATCCCATATGACTGCGTGAAGCCCTTTGCTACAAGTCTCGCTTTGAATCTTTCGACTCTTCCATCTGCTTTGTACTTAACCGTGAATATCCACTTGCAGCCTACAGGATTTTTTCCATGAGGTAATTCTGTAAGGATCCATGTGTCATTCCTTTCTAGAGCCCGAATTTCTTCCTCAACTGCTTGTTTCCATGTTGGAACCTTTAGAGCCTCTTGGATAGCGTTGGGAATCTGCACACTATCAAGGTTGGGCACAAAAGCCCTGTAAGGTGGTAGCAACTTCCCATAAGCTACATATCTTTCGATTGGATGACCAGTGCACCATGGAACACCTTTCCTGTGGGCAATTGGCTGATCAGAGTCATCAACCACTGGCACAATAGAGTCATGAGTTACGAAATTCATACCATTGTGATTATCGGATGCAGGAGGACTTGGTTCTGGTTCTTGACAGTCACAGGTCTGCATGGTGTCCTCTATATGCTCGGTTGGTCGTCTCCTTCTGGTATAGACACGAAGTTCATGATTATTAGTGTCAAGTTGAGGTGGAGTAGGAACAATTGGGGCTGGAACAGTTGGAGCTATTTCAGTGGCAGAGTTTGGTTCTTCAAGTAGGGTCGGTTGAGTGGAAGTGTTCGGGGTTGTTGAAGGAAAAATAGCCTGAGTGTCTTGGAGAAGATCCCAAATCTGATATTCCCTCGAGTTCTCCCCCTGAATTTCGGATTTGGGATAGTAAGGTTGATTCTCAAAAAAGGTGACATCCGTGGAGTTGTATACTTTCCTAGTGATTGGTGAGTAACACTTGTATCCTTTTTTATTAGAGGAGTAACTGAGGAAGGTACATTTGAGAGACCTGGGATCAAGTTTGGTCCGGTGTTATGATGGATGTGAACGAAGGAAGAACAACCAAAAACCTTCAATGGTAAGTCGGAAGAAAAGGAGTGGATATGTGGATAGGTTTTCTTGAGAACATGATGAGGAGTTTGGAATTTTAGGACTCGACTAGGCATCCTATTGATGGATATGTTGCTATGAGTATGGCTTCCCCCCAAAAGTGTTTAGGCACATGATTAGAGAACATAATGGCACGGGCCACCTCAAGTAAATGTCTATTCTTCCTTTCAGCAACCTCAGTTTGTTGAGGAGTATCAACACAAGAGCTTATATGAACAATACCATGCTTGGAAAGATAAGGACCAAGAATGGAATTGAAATACTCCCTGGCATTATCTGTTTTAAGAACTTGAATGTTGCTTTGAAATTGAGTAGAGATCATGGAATGAAAGGATTGAAAGATGGTGGCTGTTTCGGATTTTTCTTTCATAAGGAATGTCCAAGTTGTTCTCGTATGAACATCTATGAATGACATAAACCATCGAGCCCCATTTATATTTTTTACTCGTGAGGGTTCCTAAATATCACTGTGAATTACAGAAAATGGATGTGAAGGCTTGTATTGTAAACTAGAATATACATGCCTAGTATGTTTTGCAAGCTGACAAATTTCACATTGGTAAAAATTGGAATTTTTATTGATAAACAAATGCGGAAACAACTTTTCAATGTATCCAAAATTTGGATGACCAAGGCGGCAAGGCCATAACATGACTTGACTCTCAATTGAAACAGAATTGGAAACAAGATTGACGGAATTTGAACTAGACTCAGAAACACAACTTGACGGGTGAACTTGTCTACCAAGGAGATTATTTTCTTTGAGCAAATATAGGCCACAACGCATCTCAGCATTGCCAATCACCTTCCCCGAATCCACTGCCTGAAAATCACAAAAATTGGAATAGAATTTAGTCACACATTTTAAGTTACGAGTAAGTTTGCTGATTGCAAGTAAATTGCAATCTAATTTAGGGACATAAAGGACAGGGTAAAGGTGAAGATCCTTTGTTAATTGGACTGATCCGGTTACTGGCATTGGTGAAAATGAACCATCAGCTATTCTGACTGCAGAGTGACTAGTACATGGACTGTAATTTCTAAAACAGTTAATGTCTCAAGTCATATGATCCGAGGCTCCCGAGTCAACTTTCCACGGTTTTGGTGATGTATTTTGGACAATATGAGCATAGAGGATAGGATACCTTGGTGTGCTAGAAGGCTGGTAGGTTGCTCGGCGGGGGATTGTGATGTTTGTGGTGCTTGTCCGAAACTGGAAACATGACCAAGCATTTTCTACAGTGCCTCAAGTTGCTCCTTGGTGAATGGACTGACTTCTGCATTATTTCCTGTTGTAGCAGTAGCATTTGCACGGTTTTTCCTGTCAAATCGTTCACTAGATGGCTTCCAATCTGCAGGTTTTCCATGTATTTTCCAGCATGTCTCCTTCACATGACCAAGTTTTCTTACAATGGTCGCACCATGGACGTCCTTTCCTGAGCCTATTATTCTGAGAGGAATTGTGAGTGAACAAGGCTGACCCTTCGGAAGTGGGTGTAGTGTGGTTGTCTGTCATCATCAGTTTCTTTCTGCTCTCCTCTCTACGTACTTCTGCAAAAGCCTCCCGAATAGTTGGGAGAGGTTTAATCCCCATGATTCTCCCTCTGACTTCGTCTAGGTCTTTATTGAGGCCAAGAAGAAATCTGATGGTCCTTTTTTGTTCAACAATCTTCCTATGCAAGGCCGAGTCATCAGGACATTTCCAAGAATAAATCTCGTACATGTCCAATTGCAGCCAACAGCGTGTGAGAGTGTTGAAATATTGAGTAACACTCGATTCTCCCTGTCGTAGATCATACAATCTGGTCTCAATCTCAAACAACTCTGAGGAATTCTCAGTGCTGGAATACGTTTCACGTGCAACCTCCCATATTTCCTTGGCTGTCCTGTAGAGCAGAAAGTTCTCTCCAACCTCCGTGGTCATGGAATTTATTAGCCATGACATAACCAGGTGATCATCAGTTTTCCAGGCCCTGTATTTCGGATATGTTGTTTCAAGAGCAGAGATTTCGCCTGTGAGATGTCCATCCTTCCCTCTGCCGCAGATGTACATAAAAACGGACTGTGACCATTGAAGAAAATTATGGCCATGAAGTTTATGATTTGTGACAAGATGAGATGAAATATTGAGTAACACTCGATTCTCCCTGTCGTAGATCATACAATCTGGTCTCAATCTCAAACAACTCTGAGGAATTCTCAGTGCTGGAATACGTTTCACGTGCAACCTCCCATATTTCCTTGGCTGTCCTGTAGAGCAGAAAGTTCTCTCCAACCTCCGTGGTCATGGAATTTATTAGCCATGACATAACCAGGTGATCATCAGTTTTCCAGGCCCTGTATTTCGGATATGTTGTTTCAAGAGCAGAGATTTCGCCTGTGAGATGTCCATCCTTCCCTCTGCCGCAGATGTACATAAAAACGGACTGTGACCATTGAAGAAAATTATGGCCATGAAGTTTATGATTTGTGACAAGATGAGAGGAGGAATTGGGAATGATAGGGGCTGAAGAATTAGGCTCGGATCTAGAAGTGATTTCCGAGGAAGAGGATTGTGATGCCATGCCGTATTTTGTCATGGTGAGAGTACGGCAAGGGAAAAAGATGTTTGGAGAAGATTAGGGTTCAGAAACCCAAGGCTCTGATACCATGAAGAAATTAATGGAATAATTCCGATTATTCTTATTCATAAACAACGAAATACAACCTAATATATAGGCTAGGATGGCTGACAAACCAGTCCACCGAGAAAGGGAAATAGAATCCCTGAAAATCAGGAATTTCACCAAATCAGGAAAAAAACCGGAAACTACAAAATCTAAATAAGGAAAACAGAAACTGAAATCTATTCTAAGAAAATAAATAACTTCCTAACTAAATGCAAGGGTCGGCTACTTTTTACATTGTGCAAATAGTTTGTTAGTTTCTTATAATAGATGGAGTCCTCTACATTATAAGAAATTATTTAGTAAGCCCGGGTAATTGATTCCGTCCAATTACTGAAGGGATTTGAGTTTTCCACAATTGGTTAGAATGGAGACAGGATGATATGAATATCTGACTCAATGAATTAATGAATCAACTTGGTGATACAGGTGGTTCTTGACTTGGATGAGACACTTGTATGTGCTTATGAGACATCTAGCTTGCCTGCCATTGTTAAAATTCAAGCTACGGAAGCTGGGTTGAAGTGGTTTGAGTTAGAATGTGTGTCTTCGGACAAGGTCGGTCTCTGTCTATCTTTCTCGCTGTAACTTTTATGTTCGGTCTGATTGTCATTACGACATAATTAATGTGCTTATATCTAATGAAGGAATGTGATGGTAAACCAAAGATAAGTTATGTGACTGTGTTTGAACGACCTGGTTTGCAAGAGTTTTTGAAACAGATCGGTGAATTTGCTGTGCTCGTCCTATTTACTGCTGGTCTTGAAGGTTTAATGTTATACTAGTTTCAATTAAGCTTCGTTTTCCCTTTCTCCGTTTTATTCTTAAATCTTTTCTTTTCTCACTAATTCTCTAAAAATACCGTGCAGGCTATGCTAGACCACTTGTTGACAGGATAGATGCGGAGAACCGATTCAGCCTTCGTCTTTATCGTCCTTCTACAGTTAGCACGTAAGTATTACTCATAAACCATGATATTCTTCCCGAAGTATCCATATTTATTTATTTATTTTGTAAAAGTAACATAAAAGTATGACTCATTATAGTAACTGCACTTTGAATCTTGATTCAAATACCTTTGTGAAAAACTCGGTACATCTCCATAAACTCAACAATCACTTGAGCGAGAATTCCGCTAAAAATCACACAGCTCATTTACTACTTTATTGACATTACATTGATGTCAATGACAGGGAATATCGAGAACATGTGAAGGACCTGTCTAATTTATCAAAGGATTTGTCTCGAGTTGTAATCGTCGACAACAATCCATTTAGTTTCTTGTTACAACCCTCAAATGGTATACCATGTATTCCATTCTCCGCTGGACAACCATATGATGATCAGGTAATATATTGACTTTTTTCAAAAAGACCAATGGTTGCTTAAAAAGAAATGCAACGTTCATAGTTTGTGATTACTTCTGTCGTGTGGATTGCATAGCTTTTGGAAGTCCTGCTTCCACTCCTTAAACATCTCTCCAAGCAAAAAGATGTCAGGCCTGTGCTTTGTGATAGATTCCGCATGCCAGAATGGTTTCAAATGCATGGAATTCCTGTATTTGGTTCGCCAATGTGATGTTAACCAAGTTTCAAAACAGCTGGTTCTTCTCAGGCAGGTGCCTCTGGTTCTATATTAAGAGTTTGCGCAGAGGGTACTATATGTTCTTTTGAGATTTCCTCTGGGAGAAAAAGCTTCCAGGGAGATTCTTAACAAACCACGAAATTTGTCATGAATGAGCTCAACTCTGATTTTTTGCCCTGGCTGTAAGGATTAAATTGTAAGGTTTGCGAAATAGTTATGAATCAATCTTCATGTACTCTGAAAGTGAGATGTTTGCTTCTGAGTCTTCTCGTTGTTATGTGAAATCCTTCCGCTCTGATTAGTTTTCTTCTGCCTTTTCAAACAGAAAGGTACAAGTTACAACCACAGTACGGACTTAATAATGGCATTACTGAGAGGTGATTTGTTATGCAAGACTCTTTAGTTTCTCTTGGATATATTTGCTATGCTACATTTATTCAGGGTTTGTAGGAGTGGCAAACAAGCACTAGTGTCACAATTAACTGCTGTAAACGGAGGACAATTGATTTCTCACTGTGATTAGTGGCGTCCTAATACTACTCTTTTCAAAGAAAGCAGGTGTTTAAAAACCTGCTATCTTTATTCGATTATTGGCTGTCGTCTACAGATTGGACAGTATTAACACAGTTTTAATCTAGCTCCTACGTCGTTGGGGGGAAAAAGAAAGGGTTGCCCAAGCTTCAAACCAGAAGATACCATCCAATAGAAAGTAATGGATAACGTAATGGGTTAATAGTATTCTCTTTCTGTTGTTTACTTATCCCTATTATGAAGTGGAATCAGAAACAATCTGACCGTTCGTTACGTTAGTTTAAATCATAATTTAAGTTCTTACTACATAATTTCTCTAATAAAAATTTAAATTTAACTTTTTTAATTGCAGTGTTTTCTCATATGAATTCACTTTTTAACTTGATCAAGTGAAATAAATAAAGCTTAGCTACCATTACTTAAAGTTGGGCAACAAAATTTATAAAGTTAATTACTAAAATGTCTCTATGCATAATAAAATAACCATATAAAAATAATCCAATGTTTACTGTACTCAACGTAAAATAATACCAAGAGAAGATTTGGGATTAAGATTTCCTTGTCACATTCTCTACATGCTGACACTATTAAATCATCATTTCTATGTTAAAAGTAAACAAATCAATACATGTAAAAGTAAACATATCTTAAAAGTAGAACTTATACTATCAACGCATTATTCCACAGGCAAAATTCCGACAGTAACTCTTATCTAATTTGCCCGGTTATCAGTGAAATCGGATGGCGCAGCTACTTATTGTGACCTGGAAACATGCTCTATCTATGTCCGCTTATAGGGTATAGTACAACATAACCATTGCTTTTCCATCTGAGAAGACGACTGATGGATTTTCCTGCGTGTTTGATTTTCATTCTGAGCCAAAACATTGGACAACATTAGTCAGCACTTGGAAGGTAAGATTGATCCCGACAAGCCGGTGATGCGTCTGCTGGATTCATCAATGCCAAATTCATAGACTCTTCGGAAATTGAGTTGACATGTCAAGAAGCACCAGATGATTCTTTAGATTTTTCTTTGACCACCTCCTTATCTAAGGTGATCGCTTCTGCAGCCTGTGGCTGACTTGTTTGGGGCTGGGAATCTGAAGCAATGCCCAAAACTACCAATATTGACCTGAAAAAGCAGAAAATAATAACATGAATCATGTCAGTAACCAACTACTGGTTATAGCTTCCCCCTTCCTGCTAAATTGTCTCGGGCAAAAAGAAACGGTTGATTTCAATGAACCTTGGAAGTGAAGATCGAATATCTGGCTGGCTAGCATGCGTAGTTAATGGTGCTTTCAGAGCTGGTGTTCTATTCAATGCATTTTCTAGTTGTGCTGGAGGTAGCTGCAAGATAAAAATACCATCAGAAGAGTTCTAAACTCCATTACTGTTTAAGTCCAACATGGGAAATAATTTCATCACTTCATTAAAACGACTAAAAGAAAAGGAAAGAAAATTGCTGAAAAGTATATTTCGATTTACAAAAGCTAGAGTAGAATTGAATTTGTACTTGTGTTTTCCCTTTGAAACATTCTGGTTCTTTTTTTTTAATAAGAAACGATAAATTTTATTAAAAATAAAAACTAGAAGAGTACAAAAGGGGACAAGACGTCTGTTAGACTCCTATTCTCTGTTAGTAGAATTGAGACAGAATTCCTAGGAATACTATCGGAAGCTTGAATTGTATTAATGGCGGACGATTGGTTACAAGGGGGATAAGGGGATTTTCGAGAGATCCCTTGCTCTCCTAGGTTCCACTCTCGGAAGTATACAGATGATTCGATCCCCTTCTATTCCCCTTCCTACTCTATTTATACTACTAAGCCTTATTCTCCCTCACTGATCCCAATGCTAACTAACTAGTAACTTCCTACTGACTCAGCCACTTCCTAATTCCTCTTCCCGAGCTCCTCCCTCCACGTCAGCCTCCACTTGAGTTTCAGCTGCCAACCTTGGCTCGTGGTGGCGTTTCCTCCGAACATATGTAAAACGCACGGGGGGCTTATCATTACCCCCGCCCCAAAGACGCACCTTGTCCTCAAGGTGAAAGTGAGGAAATTGTGCATCAATAGCAGCATACGACTCCCACGTATCTTCATGTTCCGGCAATTGAGCCCAACGAATCAACACCTCCAAATCAGAACGACCCCCATGAGGCGTATGTCGCACCCCAAGCAGATCAGCCGGCTCTGCGCACATCTCCAAATCACCGGTCAGCTGGGCTGGCAGAGATGAGATGGCCTGCCCTTGTCCAACCACCCGACGTAGCTGAGAAACATGAAACACCGGATGAATGGTCGCTGAGTCTGGCAAAGCCAGACGATAAGCGACTGGCCCCACGCGACGCACAATGCGAAAGGGACCGTAGAAACGGGGGCTCAACTTCTCATTACGACGGCGCGCCAATGAAACCTGACGGTAAGGCCGGAGCTTAAGATACACTAAGTCTCCCACAACAAACTCCACATCTCGCCGTTTACCATCCGCAATCGCTTTCATCTTCTGTTGAGCCCGAAGAAGATGGAATTTGAGTAGATCTAACATGGCATCTCGATCTTGTAGTTGGCGCTCGACGGAATCCACAGGTGACGACCCCACACTGTACCGCAGCAATGGTGGAGGCAAACGGCCATAAACCGCTTGAAAAGGAGTCATGCGCGTGGCAGTATGAAAGGAAGTATTGTACCAATACTCGGACCAAGCCAACCACTTATGCCACTGCCCGGGCTTATCGCAAGTAAAGCAACGTAGATACGTTTCCACACTCCTATTAACCACCTCGGACTGGCCATCGGTCTGTGGATGGTATGCCGTACTACGCGAGAGGATAGTGCCCATCTGTTTGTGTAAGTCCGTCCAAAAACGGCTAAGAAAGACTCGGTCCCGATCCGAAACAATAGAGCGAGGGACCCCATGTAGCCGGACCACCTCCCGGACAAACAGTGCTGCAACCTTCTCTGCGGTAAACGGGTGCCTCAAAGCCATAAAATGGCCGTACTTGCTCAAACGGTCAACAACCACTAGGATCGTATCGTAGCCCTCCAATGGGGTAGGCCCTCAATAAAATCCATCGATACATCTTCCCACACCTGTTCCGGAATAGGTAAGGGTTGCAATAATCCTCCCGGAGCCAAGGTGGAAGCCTTACACCGTTGACATATCTCACATTGACCCACATATGCGGTAACATCTCGCTTCATTCCTAACCAAAACCAGTCAGCCGCAATTCGACGATATGTCTTCAATCCCCCCGAGTGGCCACCTAACACTCCGTTGTGATATGAATGTAGCAATCGCTGTACAATCGGAGACGTGTGAGCCACCACCATCCTACCCTTATACAACAAACGGCCTTGTCTGATGGAATAACCGGGAAATGCAGCCGGGTTGTTAGGCAGTTCCGACCAAATCTTGACTAACCGGTCATCCTGCAACACCTGTTGATGGATTTCTTTGGTGTTGACAAATGTGGAGGCCGTCATGGTGGCCATAGCTGGCCCAACTACCACTCGTGACAATGCATCCGCAGCCCTATTCTCAACCCCAGGTCGATATTGGATCTCGAAGTCATATCCCAACAACTTGGTGAGCCATTTTTGGTGTTCCATGCTAACTAGACGCTGCTCCAACAAGTATTTAAGGCTGCGCTGATCCGAGGAAATTGTGCATCAATAGCAGCATACGACTCCCACGTATCTTCATGTTTCGGCAATTGAGCCCAACGAATCAACACCTCCAAGTCAGAACGACCCCCATGAGGCGTATGTCGCACCCCAAGCAGATCAGCCGGCTCAGCGCACATCTCCAAATCACCGGTCAGCTGGGGTGGCAGAGACGAGATGGCCTGCCCTTGTCCAACCACCCGACGTAGCTGAGAAACATGAAACACCGGATGAATGGTCGCTGAGTCTGGCAAAGCCAGATGATGAGCGACTAGCCCCACGCGACGCATAATGCGAAAGGGACCGTAGAAACGGGGGCTCAACTTCTCATTACGATGGCGCGCCAATGAAACCTGACGGTAAGGCCGGAGCTTAAGATACACTAAGTCTCCCACAGCAAACTCCACATCTCGCCGTTTACCATCCGCAATCGCTTTCATCTTCTGTTGAGCCCGAAGAAGATGGAATTTGAGTAGATCTAACATGGCATCTCGATCTTGTAGTTGGCGCTCGACGGAATCCACAGGTGACGACCCCACACTGTACCGCAGCAATGGTGGAGGCAAACGGCCATAAACCGCTTGAAAAGGAGTCATGCGCGTGGCAGTATGAAAGGAAGTATTGTACCAATACTCGGACCAAGCCAACCACTTATGCCACTGCCCGGGCTTATCGCAAGTAAAGCAACGTAGATACGTTTCCACACTCCTATTAACCACCTCGGACTGGCCATCGGTCTGTGGATGGTACGCCGTACTACGCGAGAGGATAGTGCCCATCTGTTTGTGTAAGTCCGTCCAAAAACGGCTAAGAAAGACTCGGGCCCGATCCGAAACAATAGTGCGAGGGACCCCATGTAGCCGGACCACCTCCCGGACAAACAGTGTTGCAACCTTCTCTGCGGTAAACGGGTGCATCAAAGCCATAAAATGGCCGTACTTGCTCAAACGGTCAACAACAACTAGGATCGTATCGTAGCCCTCCGAACGGGGTAGGCCCTCAATAAAATCCATCGATACATCTTCCCACACCTGTTCTGGAATAGGTAAGGGTTGCAATAATCCTCCCGGAGCCAAGGTGGAAGCCTTACACCGTTGACATATCTCACATTGACCCACATATGCGGTAACATCTCGCTTCATTCCTAACCAAAACCAGTCAGCCGCAATTCGACGATATGTCTTCAATCCCCCCGAGTGGCCACCTAACACTCCGTTGTGATATGAATGTAGCAATCGCTGTACAATCGGAGACGTGCGAGCCACCACCATCCTACCTTTATACAACAAACGGCCTTGTCTGATGGAATAACCGGGAAATGCAGCCGGATTGTTAGGCAGTTCCGACCAAATCTTGGCTAACCGGTCATCCTGCAACCCCTGTTGATGGATTTCTTCGGTGTTGACAAATGTGGAGGTCGTCATGGTGGCCATAGCTGGCCCAACTACCACTCGTGACAATGCATCCGCAGCCCTATTCTCAACCCCAGGTCGATATTGGATCTCGAAGTCATATCCCAACAACTTGGTGAGCCATTTTTGGTGTTCCATGCTAACTAGACGTTGCTCCAACAAGTATTTAAGGCTGCGCTGATCCGTGCGGATTACAAAATGATGCCCCAAAAGATACGGCCGCCACTTTTGAACGGCCAAAATAATGGCCATCAACTCGCGCTCATACACCGACTTGTTCCGTGCTTGAGCGGATAGGACTTGACTGAAATAAGCAATGGGCCGTTGTTCTTGCATCAAAACTGCCCCTAAACCAATTTCCGAGGCATCTGACTCAAGCACAAATGGCTTTGTGAAATCCGGCAATGCCAACACCGGCACTTGTGTCATTGCCGATTTCAACCTTTCAAAAGCTTGCATCGTCTCAGCATCCCAACGAAAATTATCCTTGCGAAGCAAGTTGATTAAGGGTCCTGCGATTTGACTATATCCAGCCACGAACTTGCGGTAGTAACCTGTCAACCCAAGGAATCCCCGTAACTCCTTCAAATCCGTGGGAGGAGGCCAATTAACCATGGCTTCTATTTTAGCAGGATCAGCCGAAACCCCTTCTGCCGAAACGATATGGCCAAGGTACTCGATTGATCGCTGGCCAAAACTACACTTCTTGGCGTTGGCATATAGTTGGTATTGCTGCAAAACCGCCAATACCTGGCCCAGATGGCCTGCATGCTCTTCCAAGGAACGGCTGTAGATAAGTATATCATCAAAAAATACGAGCACAAACTTACGGAGGAAAATACGAAGGACGTCATTCATGAGCGATTGAAAGGTCGCCGGAGCATTAGTGAGGCCAAACGGCATCACAAGGAATTCGTAGTGGCCTTCGTGTGTGCGAAAGGCTGTCTTCGGCACGTCCTCGGCTTTCATCCTAATTTGATGATATCCTGATTTAAGATCGATCTTGGAAAACACCGTTGCGCCATGCAATTCATCCAAAAGTTCTTCTATGACTGGAATTGGAAAACGATCGGGGACTGTCTCCCTATTCAAAGCGCGGTAGTCCACGCAAAATCTCCAACTTCCATCCTTCTTCTTAACCAGCAAAACCGGACTAGAGTACGGACTAACGCTTGGTTGAATTATGCCAGCCGCTAACATTTCCCCAACCAATTTCTCAATTTATGTTTTCTGAATATGGGATAACGATAGGGTCTAACACTTATGGGAGAGGTTCCCTCTCTCAACACAATTGCATGATCCTTAGTTCGAATCGGTGGCAATCCTTCCGGCATTTCAAAAACCTCCCTATACAAACTCATTACCTCCTGCAATTCCAGGGGAACTACCTCCTCTTTAATTGGCGGTCTCACTCCCAGAGCCCCTAACTCCACCCACACCCCTTCTCCTTCATGTCTCAAGGCCCTCATTAAAGCCTTGAGTGTTACTGGTGACTTATTCAATCCCGGGTCACCCCTTAATGTAACCTGCCTCCCTCCCAGACCGAACTTCATGAGTAAGGTCTTCCAATTCACAGATACAACCCCTAGGGTTTCCAACCATTGGATTCCCAATATCAAGTCTGAGCTTCCTAATTCCAAAGGCAGAAAATCTTCAACTATTTCAATTCCCTGCATGGAAACTAATACTCCCCGGCAAATTCCCTCTCCTCGCACCGCTAAACCAGTTCCCATCACCACTCCATACCCCCCCGTCCTATCCACTGGCAATTTCAATTTCTGAACCAAATCGCAAGAAATGAAATTGTGGGTCGCCCCACTATCAATTAACAAAATTACCTCACGCCCGTGAACGATTGCTTTAAGCTTCATGGTTTTCGGGGCTGTTAATCCCACAACTGAATTGAGGGATAATTCCACCATTTCTTCTTCTTCAGCCATTCCGGTCTGCTCTGTCTCCTCCTCTTCCCATTCCTCTTCCTCACGGACAATCATGACCTGTATCTCCCGATTCGGACAACGGTGACCGAAAAAATACTTGCCATCGCATCGGTAACACAGCCCTTTCTCCCTCTTAGCCTGTAGTTCCGCGTCAGTCATCCGCCGGAACGGCGCCGATCCCGGGCCCTGGTTCGTCGTCTTCCGTTCGTCTCCCACCCTTCCTTTCTCGTTCGAACTTCCATTAAAACGCGGACCGGATGTGGTCGTTTGGCCATTTCTTTGTTCATTAACTCCTCTTCCCCAAACCGGAAACGTTGGGCCCTGGCCTTTTGGGCCACGTACCAGCAGGTTACGCCCCCTCTGGGCTACCTCCATAATCCGGCCCAGCCCAAACGGTTTCATCAGTCTTATCTCTGCCCGCACCTCAGGCTTAAGTCCATTAACAAACGAACTCTCCAGAACTTGCTCGGAGACGTCCGTCAACGGCGCCGCCAGCACCTCGAATTGCTTCCGGTAATCTCTCACCGTCGTCTCCTGCCGGAGGGACAACAACTTCTCGCACAAGCTGCCTTCTTGTGTCGGTCGGAATCGTTCGAGAATCATCACCTTCAACTCCGCCCAATTTCGAATCATCCGCCGCCCATCCTCCCATTGAAACCATGCCAAGGCTTCTCCGTCGAGGCTGACAACTGCAACATCCAACTTTTCGTTCTCTGTCAGACCGTTCATCGTAAAGTATCTCTCAGCCCTAAAAGTCCAGCCATCGGGGTTTTCGCCGTTAAACGTCGGCATCGACACTCTTCTGGTCCGACAGTCGGCTCGCGTTCCAAATTCACGCGGTTGCCTGACTCTCTCGCTCGACTCTTCTCCTGGCGTCGTCTATCTCGCCGGAGCTTCTACTCCAGCTGTCTGGAAATTCCGCCGTTCTTGATGCTGAATATTCATCAGTTCCTCCATTCTAGCCAGCAGCAAATCCATGCCTTGCTCCAGTCGAGGAATTTTTTTCAATTCCTCACGCACCTCCTCGAATTCCCTTGCGAATTCCTCTCTCGTTACCTCCGTCTTCTCCTTCTCGCGGTCATCGGTACGTCTCGTCATACCAGGACAGTGCTCTGATACCAAATGTTAGACTCCTATTCTCTGTTAGTAGAATTGAGACAGAATTCCTAGGAATACTATCGGAAGCTTGAATTGTATTAATGGCGGACGATTGGTTACAAGGGGGATAAGGGGATTTTCGAGAGATCCCTTGCTCTCCTAGGTTCCACTCTCGGAAGTATACATATGATTCGATCCCCTTCTATTCCCCTTCCTCCTCTATTTATACTACTAAGCCTTATTCTCCCTCACTGATCCCAATGCTAACTAACTAGTAACTTCCTGCTGCCTCAGCCACTTCCTAATTCCTCTTCCCGAGCTCCTCCCTCCACGTCAGCCTCCACTTGAATTTCAGCTGCCAACCTTGGCTCGTGGTGGCGTTTCCTCCGAACATATGTAAAACGCACGGGGGGCTTATCAACGTCCACCAAACATCCAGAAGAGAAAAAAGCAAAACAATAAACAGCGCAGGGATTTAAAGTACAAACAGAACCCCAGACTCAGCACAAGATAATGTCCCAGCCCCTAAGCAAGTCTGAAAATCAGACTCCACTAAAATCTTTCAAATGAGACTCCGCTAAAATCTTTGAAACATTCTGGTTATTTGTCCAAAACATTCCAAACAATAGATCCACTCACTAAGGAAGAACATATTTAGATTATCAAACAAAAAGTATCGAGGCTTTAGAAGCATAAATGTCCCTAGGCTAAAGCCCTGATGTCCTCAGATTGAAGAGCACCTCAAAATTGCTTTTTATAACAATGCCATCAAAAGTACACATCAAAGCTTCTACCCGAGAGAGAGAGAGAGAGAGAGAGAGAGAGAGAGAGAGAGAGAGAGAGAGAGAGAGAGAGAGAGAGAGAGAGCTAAAGCCCTGATGTCCTCAGATTGAAGAGCACCTCAAAATTGCTTTTTATAACAATGCCATCAAAAGTACACAGCAAAGCACAGAGAGAGAGAGAGAGAGAGAGAGAGAGAGAGCAGCATAGAGGGACGGAATAGTAGTTAAAAGTAACGATGAGAATACATGGCTCTCAGCAAATCCTTAGATGCGAATCAATTCTAAAAACATAAAAGGCATAGTGGGCTTCTATAGACACACCTGAAGCAACACACCAAATGATTGAGGCTTTGTCAAGAACGCACACTTCAAGAATCCTACCCACAACTTGGGATATTTCCATATCTGCGACAGCTTATTGAGTCAAAAGATGAAGAAAGCAAAAATGCTAAATGAATTGCAATTAACTTGACATAATATTACCTGTTTGCTTACAAGTCGAGAGAGAATCTCCATCACAAAATCCACCTGTAAAATAAGCAGCAAACCCAAAGCTATAAGACCTTAAAATTATGTGCCAAAGGTGTAAAAGAGAAAAACAACGTTTCTACCAAAAAAAAAAAAAAAGGAGAGAGAGAGAGAGAGACAAACAACGTAGTTGTCTACCCAACAGAGAATATTACTGAACTCCCTACTTACTCTTCAATTAAATGTGCAACAGACCTTGCTTATTAAATTCTTACCAGTGCTGGAAAAGCACCTATAGCTTGTAATACTGTACGCATGAACAGTATAGGCAGAGGAATTTGCTCAACCTGTAAGAAAGGTTGGTAAGCTCTGAGTTCAGCTTGAAAGTTGTACGCAAAAGAAAGATAAAAGTTTCCACTAGTGCAGACCAATTGATTCAAAACTTTAGCAAGAACTTGTTGGGTGAATGTCTGCCGCTGTTCAAAGCAAGCGTTGCATGCATCTGTGACCTGCTATGGAGTATCATCAGTTAGCAAGCCCAGCATCATTAAATTTAAAAGACAGTGAAGTTTTATACAAGAGAAACAGAGGGGTTGGAGTTTGCAGAGGCATGCCTTCTTCAATGGAATTCCATCTCTATCAGGGTCAATCCCATTCAGCAGGAGCAAGTAGCGGACCAGAATGTGGTGAACCCTGTGTAAATGTGTCTCAAATAATCAAGTAGTGGACCAGAATGTGGTGAACCCTGTGTAAATATGTCTCAAACAATCTATATACAAAACTCACTAACAGTAAAATAATGAATGTCTAAAAGCAAATAGTTTTAGATTAGTTCTACAACCTAAATCCTATTTTAAATGTATTACAACTTCATATAACCAAATTCCAAACAGAGTAAATTTAACTAGAGAAAGATAAAATCAAATAGCCTAATAATACTTGTTTATTGTTAGGAACAAGAACAAAAATAATAAAAACAGAACACTTTAGATGCTTGTATAGGAAATGACAATAAACCTAATTTGAGCATCTTAAAAGGATTAAAACAAGTAGCATATAATGCTTGTTCATTGTTTGGACCAAGAATAGCAATAAGAAGAACAGAACACTTAAGATTCTTGAATAGGATTCAATAAATAATAACGAACCTAATTTACGCAACTTAAAGGGGAAAGAAAGTGTTAGTCGAGGAAAATGGCAGACATAAATGCTCAAAAAATTCCTGCATGGCTGCTTAAGTAGAAAATCAAATCTCTATAGTGGTCAATAAATATATATACAATATCCTATCCTCTCAGAACATGCCATGGATGAATTTATAATCTGCTTAATGGTTTTATCCATCAGAAATTAATCAGTAAGGACACGTGATAATATGTTATTTTTTACAATTGTCTTGTGCGATAAGATAACAACAAACTAACACCACTCTTATAGAAAAGCACCCATGATCACAAGTCCTTTCACCTCATGTGAGCTCAAAAAATAAAAAATAGAAAGATACCTGTAATATCCGCGCGAGTGCCACTCGGAACTTATCTATAGGAAGATTCACAACTTGGGGAAAGTTCAGCAAAACCTAACATAAGTCGGAAGCTAATTAACTTACTACAAGTAAAAGATAAGACGGCAACTCTAAATTAAACCAACTTAAAGCATTGAAAGTACGAAAGTCCAACAATAATCAGTAAGGAAACATCTAATGTCTACAATAACCAAAAATTAAGCATAAACAGCAAGAACAGACAGTCATGGAAAACAGACAAGAATTCATCCAGAAACAAGCATTAAAGGTATAAAATCAAACCAAAGTTTAGATACCAAAAGTCCCAAATAAAATATTTATAAGATGATTACTGCATTTATAAGCCCTTGGGTCCCCCCGTCTACACCCCACCACCCCCAACACACACACACCACCACCACTTGCAAGTGTGAGTTCTACACAATGGATTACTAACATAAGAAGGAAACTTCTAATGTTGACAATAATTAAAAAAAAATTAAGAAAATAAAATCAACTGGCAAACAACACAACAGACGAGGGAAACAACCAAGAATTCATCAAGAAAGCATGTAAAAAAGTAATAACGTGTGCGCTATGCCAAAGTTGGGTCAAAGAGGGAAATAACCTCGTCCTTCGATAGAAATGGTAATATTGGAATAAGTATCTCAGCGTCCTGCAATAAATTAGAACCAAACACATATCAGCTCACACTTTAGTTTAACAGTCAGTAAAACTGAATGATCTACCTTCAATTTTGAATCATATAACTTCTTAATGGTAAATATCAATTCTTGAGAAGGAATCGTTCCATCTGTCAATGTATGCAAAACCTGATACAATGTCCCAAAGATGTAGACAGGAAAGGGTGTTAACATGCTGTCCTTGAAGAGTGATGACCAAATCATTAAATAACTTTTGAAACCTGCATTAGGAGGTTCTCGCTTCCTACTGGAGGATCTGAAATAATTTCAAGAAGATCTGAGGATGAGCCCATAGTGCGGACTAATATTGGGATATGGCGATCAACTGCCTGCAGCAACAAATTAAATAAGTAGAAAAATCATGTGATAGGAATTCAAGCACCAATGCAATATCTGGAAACACAAGAAAATTACTCAAGAAAAAAACAAAAAGACATACAAATTAATCAAACCTGCTTAACTTCCTTCGATGCACTTTTATAAGTAAAAAAAATTTCGCAAAAGAGGGAGTGTTTCTGCCACACAGACCATCAAACAAATACATTCAATTCTATTTGCATTAATCATAAAGTCAACAACTGAACAAAGAATATAAAAGTACTAAGATGTAAAAGAGAGAGGTATCACCTTTGTGCACAAAGCAAAATAAAGTGACATACACCGCTGGGCCTCACAGACTGAAAGGGATGATCCACTTTGAGAAGTACATGATTGATGAGTATCCGAGGACACATCTTTACTGTTGGCACTCATTGATGGAAGTTCATTAAAAGGCTTTTCGGACTCAGAGTCCTGAAAATTTGATTTGAAGACAGAACTAAGTTTGATTAAACCATAATATATCTTACGGTCAAATTTGATTGGACTCCACATGGCACATAAAAAGAGTATTACCTTCCTAAGTTCAGAAATTGGTCCTTCAGCATCCAATGTTTCTGTTGTTTCACCGTTTATTACAGAAAGCAATGTTTCTTTTGCGAAATCTTCTATTCGTTTTGCAATGGATGACAAAGGATAAAGCTTGTTTGCGACCTGTCAAATGGAAAAGCGCATGAGAAGCTAACTTAAAATAGATAAAAATCAAGAGGCAAAACTGTTATTTCACTTCCAAGATGTAAATGAAGTACCAGACGAATAGCCTTCATGCGCACTTCCTCCATATGATGTACCGCACTCTTTCATGGGTGAAAAGAAAATGTCAAAAAAAAAAAAAGGAGCAATATGAAAATGCTATATTGCTAAACATAAATTCTACAAACAAACCAAGTAAAAAATTGAAAAAAAGGGGGGGCTAATATTATAGATCCAAAATTTGTAGTCAGCAAATATCATCACAAATGAAAATGCTTAAACACAGACATGTGCCTCTCTGAAGCAGAAAAAAAGCAAGAAGCAGAAATAGCGTTGATTTTGGTTATTTGCTAGAATTCTGAAAATCAGAAAACAAAACCAAATGTAATGAAGTTCACAAGATGGAAAACCTTTAAAGCAATTTTCAAGCAGGCATCTCGAAAAGGAGGCCTCAGTAAAATCAGGCTCCACACTATGCTCAGACCTTGCGTCACTCGGTCCCCGCTTTGTAATTCTTTCTCAGCCTTGTCAAAGTTTCCAGGTGAGCACATGCGCTCCAATAATTTCAAAACTTTGTCTGGTAAATATGGAACCTCTCCAAGCAATCTGCTCAATGATTTGTCTGAGGGAGGAAATGAGTCTCTTAGCGTTTCCACCTGCATTAGAATAAAGACTCCTAAGCGGGCATTATTCAAAAGGACCAGTGAACTGAACATAAGACTACATACCACAGTTAAAAGGAACATCTCGTAAACAGAAGTAGCAGTTCTGGAAGAAAAGAAATCGTGGTCCTCTTCTGCTTCCCCAAACAACCTGTACAGGACGCGCAATGTCAACTCGTGTCCCTGAAGAAAATTTGTTAGTAACAATCAGTTTGTTAGTAACAATCAGTCGTGCACAAATGATAAATCAGATAAAAGAGCACACAAATATCATGTGTGAACTATTTATGACTACCAATAATGAGCATCAAAGGAAACACAAGTACAGCAGATGCAACAATCGTGAGTGAGTCATAGATTCACTTTACCACTTGCAATCTCTCATCCACTATCGAAAATTTGAATTCAAATGTTTAATGACCTAGACTATGATTATCTAAAAGAAAATACCTACAATAAGGTTAAAGAACTTAACTACCAGGTCTTTACCACATGCCAGAACACCATTATCTTTAGCTGTTACTTTTCCCATCACTACAACCAATTTCACTAACATTACATTTGGTAGTAAGGAGAGAAAAAGTGATGGAAAGAAAATATGTAAGAAATAGAAAATTGGAATGACAGAGAGGATATTAGTTATGCCTTAGGTTGTTTGGTAGATAGGAAGGAAAGACCAAGAAGTAGCTTGCCTCATGATTCGTATAATCTGCCAAGATGTGTGTTTGTATCAGCTTCCATGAATCTAACTCTAAGGGAAACTGCAAAAATCAACAAATGAGTTTCAAAACCATATCCACACAGAAATAACAAATATTGAGACGAGGCCAAACAACTTTGCTTGATGAAACTCTATAAAAAGTTCATAATTGATCTGAAAACAAGTTTTAGAAGCTTACATGAGTAACCGTGCATAAAAAAAGGTTATCAAAAAATTTTCTATAAATTATTAACGTCCTGAAGAGTACAAGAAGGCAGTAGAGTTTGAAGGTATGAATAATTTGAAATGGAGTACATATGATCTTCCCAACTGCTTTGTATGGGAAACTTTACTAAACCAAGAAAGGTCTAAACAAAAAGATCAACTGATAAAACAAGCCCAAGAACCAAATTGAATAAGGAACTGCAATATCAAGTCTCTCACAAGCTTTATAGATGAGATTTAGTATCGTCAAGAAGCTAGAATAACTACCTCAACTCCCAAGTGTGCAAGCAAAGAAGATCGAATTTGTGAACCTCCAGTAACTGTTGTTTGCTTATATGCCTCAACAACACGAACAAAAGCTGATTTCTGCAAATTATCCTTCTCGTCATCAGCAAGGTTGACAACAGGTGCTGACATCTTTGGCAGGACAAAATGATGGGGCAACCCAACTGAAGTTGCTGTGGAGGAAACCAAGCTATTGACATCAGAAACAGTTGCTTTTGGGCTTAGCTCGTCAGACCTCTCCGTTGACGTTGATGGAAGTAAATGCAATGAAGTCTTTTGAACAAAACTTGTAATTTTCTCTTGACTGGCATCTTCTACGTCCATAGAGACCAATGACGAAGCAGCAAGCTGTCCTGACAAATTATCATTACGAACAGAAGAATCAAGTCCAGGTATTTCACTCTCCATATTGCCAGCATCATGGATATCAGAAGGGAATGCTAAGCAGCCTTTGCCCATTTCAGAAATATCAGAAGAATCTGATACCCCAGCAGACAACAAGAGAGTTTCTGCTCCTTCATCAATGCCAACAGAAGCAACAGCATTATCTGCTGAACGTTCTTTCTCCACTTCAGGTTTCTGCAATTACCATGAATATGTAAATCAAAGTATCTAAGAAGCTGAAATAGACGAATAATTATTTATTAAAAATAGGCTAAGAACGGCGCCACAAACTATATAAAATCAAACTAACTGGAGGCAAAAACAAAAAGAAACATACAAGAAAGGTTTAATATCAAAGTTAGAAGACAAACTCATACCGCTTTATCATTGACCACTGATTGACGAGTATCTACCAGTGAAGCTATCTTAGGAAACATGCTGGAAAGTGAGAGAACATTAGCAACAAACGACGGCGGATATTTAACTTGAGAATCACTGCCAACTATACTCATATTCTGCACTGGTTCATCACCTGCTTCGGCTATAGCATGAGCTAGAGGAAGGTTACGCATACTAACCATCACTACCTCAGCTAGCAAATCAGCAGAGATACTTGAAATGAGAATCTCTAAAGAACCAACAGCTTTTTCGCCTTGGGCAACCAAGGCACCAAACATAGCTACAAGTTGATGCACAGGACCAGTATCACCATCTCCTTCGGAAGTGGTTGGACCAGTTGAAGAAATGTCATCATATGTAACAGAGATAGTTGTATTTAATTCTTTAGCCGATTCTTCTGAGACATTAGGTGTTGCTCTGATTCGTTTTCCTGGTGTATCCTCATCCTTGACAAAATCACCCTTATCCTGCGATCCAGACCTTTTCTTTCCAAAATTGTTTTGCACAGATTCATATGCTTCAACAGTGGGTTTCTCACCCTGTATATTTATAAACTGTAATATGAGGCTCCAGAAGCACAAGTGCATGTACGTGTACTTTTTTAAGGCTGTCCATTTAGAGGTGTTACAGGTGTATATCAATAAACTAAATTATATTAACACAAAATGAAGGGTGGTGACACCTTAGTAACTAGAATGTCTTCTTGCACATCTCTTAGACCTCCATTAGCCTTGCAAATATGGTGGACTTTCTCTGCTGAACTTTTTGCTGAACCTCCAGCATTCATCTCTCTCAAAGCCCCAATTAAACGATCGCGCCACTGCACAAATCAAATTATTCATAACTTGTAACTTGTTATAAGTTAGAAACGAGTAAATCTTCAAAGCAAAAATCACACGCCACAAAATCCGAAACTCCAACGTAAGCTACTTGGAAAGACGACTATATGTTGCTTAAGAAAAGAGATATGCCAAAAAAGCTAAGGAGAGTAATTTGTGACACCATATCAGAGACACTTATGAATTTAAAAATTTTAACAGGCATTATTGAAAAAATGTGTGTGTGTGTGTGTGTTCAAGGGGGAAAAAAGACTTGTCAGAAACAAATATATATATATATATATATATGTATACATATATATAATTTTCTTTTTCTAATTGCAAATCATTCATAGAAAGAACAATGTAAAGTTAAAAAGTAGTTGTTGCAGGATTGCATTAAACCAAGTCTAAAGACTGGTGATACAAGATGGGAAGATGGGGACAATTACGTATAAGAGACTTCACCAACCATAAACTAAAGAATATGATTTATAAGTTCAGTGAAGTGTGAAATGTACCGGTGCAGCACCCGCATGCGTGCACTTTAAACAGGTGAGGAATGCATTTTTTAAAGCATAATGTGCCCCGGAAATATGCAGCCCATTGATGACAGAGCTTGAAAGCTTCAGACCAAGTAAAACTGGGAGAACACGCCCATAGAACGCAGGCCTCTTCTTTGCAATTGCTGAAAGGCTGAAATAATACATTAGACAAAAACAGAGAAAAAGCACTTCAGTATACCTAGCAGAAACAGTAATCAAATAACTCAGATAAAAATAAATTAAAACTGAAAGACCATTCTCTTTAAGCAATCAAATTCTAAAGCAATAGGGACGACCAATATGTAGGATGATATGTACACTCTGCCTTGCTTTGTAAAAATGAAAATTGTATATAAAACCAGAAAAGGGCGAATACCTATTAATAAGCACAATTATTGTTGAGTTACTGAGAGAGTTCCCAGTAGGCAACCTGAGTTGATCAAGCAATAAACCCATACTTTGACTGGCCTCAATCGACAAATCTCCAACATTGAGTACCGGATGACCCCCACGAACCCAAGATATATTAAATTCAACCGGGTTTTCTGCAAGGCAGTTAATCAATGCTGTGTAAGGATAGTCTATGAGTGATTTATGTGCTAGAATTGAGTCATAATTGAGTACACACATTCATCTCTCAGACCAAAGAGTGCCCAAAGGCAGAATCAAGTTCATGTTACCTTCATGAGAGGGAGGCTCTGGTGAGCCATTAGGATCAGGTGTGTAAAGAAGAATGACTGCCACAACAAACTTCAAGGCTAGCAACCTTATCCCTCCACCTCCGGGCTTGCAAACATGTTATTACAGTGAATAAGACTATGAATAGAGCCAATATGCATAATTCTCGTAAAGCTTATTCCTTACCTGAAAAGCAATCGAGTAAATTTTCTCCTTCAACTTCAACATCCATTCCCACGATGACTCGAGAGAACCGTCCAATTCACTAGAATGCAGACCCTACTAAACGAAAATGTGCGTCAGTTATCATCTATAACTATTAGGTACAGAGGATATGTCTGAGACCTACCCGTGGTTTTCATGTCCAACTAAGTTATGATATTTACAAATTTGTTTGGAAATAAGCAAATCAAAAAGGTATCTCAACCACAACAGTATAGAACGTCCAAAATGTGCATAGAGGTCTTAAGGACGTCACCATTTAGAAAGTAGCAGCAGAATTATCCCCATAACCCATGTAAGATTTAGCCAATTCGTTCTCTTGAATTCCTCAGAGATAGATACGAGGTAACAAAACCACTCGACCAAATTTTTATTCCTCTTCTTTACTTTGTAACAAAACCACTCGACTAAATTTTTATTCCTCTTATTTACTTTTTCATTATTTTACGTCAATTTCCAATTATGAATAAGCAGTGGGATGTGAACAACCATGTTAACATGCTTGAACGATCAAAATGGCAACCGAATCAAGATAACTAAAAAACTATAGATCGATGGATAAATTCACCTGAACTGCAATTCTCTCAAGAGTACGACGAAACAAATTAATTCCACAATTAATGCCTTGTCGAGCAACGGCCGGTGTAGCATCATTCAAAACCGTAATCAACACAGGTACAATTTCAGGTAAGAACTCCACATACTTCAATCCAATTTCACCAATGATTCTAATTTCGAAAGCAAAATAAACAATTAAAAACGGCATTGCGGAATAATTCTTGCCAATGAGTGTAACTTTCCCGGGAAACAAACAGAATAATCAAACATAGTAAAAATAGAAAGACAGCTAGGGTTTTAGGAAGCGTACTTGGTGGCGAACTTGCGAACTGGACCGAACCTATCGGACTGAAGCTCAAAGAGACGAGGAAGGAGGTCGGAGAGCGAACTAGGGTTCTCGTGTAGCAAATCATGCTTCAATTGGCGCAAGCGATCAAGCTTCGACGGAATGTCTGTGGCGAACTTGGCCGAGTCCACAAGACCGGCGAGCTTTTCTGTAGAGTTCGCCGTCATCATCATTCCCACCATGGCATTCCGGAACCCTAATTTCAATTTGTTTCAGTGCAAGACCATGAAAATGTGTTGGGGGGAATGACGAGAGAATTAAAAGGTTTTTGTAATCTAATATGGGACGGAGAGGGAGGACTAAGGACGGTTGTACACAAACGAAGAGGCGACGGAGGAGGTTGTTTTCTAATTTCTTGTCTTTGGGGCCCTAGGCTGCGGTCTTGTTCCGTGGCCGTTGTGTTGGGCTGGGCTTTCTAATCACACGTTACGCCTCCAAGGGGAAGAAATTAACGCCATTTATTTCACCGATTTAAATTTTGTTATAATAAAAAAATTTTAAAAATAGTCATATTTAATTTTTTATTATATTAAAAATTTTTCATATAAAATCACATCTCAACTCAAATTAAAAACTCGAATCAGTAAATTAAACAGGCCTTAACCATGTGAGAGAATTTTTACTGAACTTTCGTCTTAATTTATTAGAAAAAAAATAAATATACATTTAAAACTTACATTAGTAAATAATTAATTTACTATTATATAAAAATTAATAGGTCTTTTTAAAAAATTTATTTTCTAATTTTACTCCTTTTTATTTTTTTTTCTCTTTCTTTCTACATCTTCTTTTTTCTCTTTCCTCTATCTGTCGTTTATGGGTTTGTTCTTCTCTCTTTGTGATGTCGCTCTTTCCATCATGTAAATTTAGAATTTACAAAAGAACAGAAATTGTGTTTCTTTGTAAGTACTAGATTTACAATATAAATTTATGATTTATCATAAGAACATAATTTTCATTCTTGTATCCATTAGAATATGGATTGTGTTATCCGTAAATCCTGAATTGACAATGTAAATTTAAAATTTACTATTAAAACACAATTTTTGTTCTTTTATAAATCCTAAATTTACAAGATAAATTCAAAAGTTACTAATATAAGATAAAATATTTTTTAGTTCTACTCGTTAAATTCAATATTTACCAACAGAACACATATTGTGTTCTTTGTAAATCTTAGATTTACCATGAGATATAATTTTTGTTCCTTTGTAAATCTTAGATTTACAAGATAAAGTCATAACTTTAATAATATAAGATAAACATTTTTTTTTATTTTTGCTCATAAATCATGAATTTACTTGGTAGGATTTACTATTAGAATACAAATTATAATACTCTTAAATTCTAGATTTGAAGTGTAAATCTAATATTACCATTAGAACACATTTTTTATTCCTTTATAAATCCTAGATTTTCATAATAAATTCAGAAGTTACTAATCCTTTTTTTAGTTTTGCTCATAAATTTTAGATTTACTCGTTAAATTTAGGATTTACCATCATTATAATTTATTGAATTGTTCAATAGTTAGGCGTGGTCTCATAGAGTTTTTTTTTCCGACCCATATAAGAATTATCTGTGTTCTTACTTTAGTTTATGCTTTCGGTAATTCACTAAGGGATCACTTAATTAGACTCTAATTAAGTCGGTAAATTGCTAAAAACATATCTAACACCTACACTAGAGATGGAGCGCAGGGGGAGCCACCTTGGTTCTCGCGAGGATAGCTGCCCCACCGGGCCCAGGGTTCCTCTTAGAATTTTGCCCAATCTTAAAATTTTTGACATTTTTTCCCCCGCCTCAAACATTTTTTAATTATCTATGGATCCGTTTAGTTCGCTGATTTGAGTTTTTAATTTGAGTTAAGATGTGACTTTATGTGAGAATTTTTTACTGTAGCAAAAAAGTTAAATGTGGTTATTTCTGAGAGCTTTTTACTGTAGTAAAACTCGAATCGGTGAAATGAATGAGACTTTAGTTTATGTTTTCTACACATATTTTTTTTAAAGAAATTTCAATTATACCTTTCATTTTGACTCTTAAATTAGTAATATTCAAACTTAATATCTCAAATAAACTAAAAATCAACTATACTACTACATAAATTCATAAAAATCTAAGCTTTAAACATTAAATTTAACTATGTCACAAGTTTAGTTTAAACAATATTACAAATAGATAAATTATGTAAAAAAAATCTTTTCTTATAATTTAATTAAAAAAATTTGGTTTAGTTCACACCCCACCTAAAAATTTTCTGGCTTGTGCATTTTGAAAGAGCGGAAGATTTATTTTTTATGGAGCATGAATTTACCTTCCTTATAAAAAGTTTTTTCCTATTTTTTAATTGAACCAATAACTTTAAATGATTTGTTTATTATAATGAATTATTTAATCAATTAATCTTGTATTTTTTTTAAGATCTACAATTGTATATTTATGTTAGTTGAATAAGGTAACGTTTGGTAAAGGGATTTGTACCCTGATTTGAATCATAGTTCATGATTCATGGTTTGCTACAGTGTTTTCTCTCATAAAAAATACACGTAAATTAAAAATGATTCTAATATCATGATTCTAATGCATGTATCAAATGTCTCTTAAATGATCGCATTGTAGAAAAAGAAGCCTAATTTTCTAGTCTCTTTGGAGTAATTTTTCCTAGTTGACCAGGGAACAAACCAAACCTTATATCTTTTGCCTTTATTAATGCAAACAAGTATTACAGTATGCCTTGAGCGAGGGGGGGAAAAAAAGTATTACAGTATGTTGTTTTTTCGATTTTCCCGTGCAAATTCCCTAGAAGATTAGAAAAGCATCTTCTTCTACAGTTCTTGTTTCACTCGCTGTCGTTTTCCTTTTCCTGGTCCCACATACGACTTGTTGCCTATATTTTATATATTATTAATTTATTATATGTATATTTAGTGAAGAATGTCCACTCTTTCTTTCTCCTCTTAATAAAATATCGGCCTGCTAGTGAGAGGAAAAAACAAAAACAAAAAACGAAAATAAAAAGAATCTGTGAAGGATAAGAGAAGAAAAGAAAGAGAGAGATGGCAATCCAGTTGATAAATCATCTCTTCAATAACACATCTACTAATTGTTCACCGCATATTGTGACGTCGTGGCAATTACCAAAGCCTTCCTTTACAATCAGTAGTACTACTAGTAGTAGTACCAAATCTAGATCATCAATATTAACCGGACGAGTCTATGCATCGTCAACCAATGGCCGGCAGCTCATACAGTCCGGCACCGTCAGGCCTATACGACCCAGCGACGCAGCGGCCGCCATTACTGACGAGGGGTTCGTGGTGTTGGACATAAGGCCGGCGTGGGAGAGAGAGAAGGCGCACGTTAGGGGGTCGCTCTACGCGCCTCTCTTTGTGGCGGACAGGGACAACTCTCTGCTTACTCTCCTCAAGAAGTGGGTGCATTTCGGCTACGTTGGGTTGTGGACAGGCCAGAGTTTTACGACGTTGAATCCTGATTTTCTTAGGCAAGTTGAGGAAGCTGTTCCTGATAAGAGTGCCAAGTTACTTGTGGCTTGTGGTGAAGGACTCAGGTAAGCCATACACGCTCGTTATGGATAATGCCACGATGAATTTTCAGCAGGGAAAAAAAAAAAAGAAAAAAAGATAGGGTCAATAGTATTGCAGGTCCTGAACTTTTAAGTATGTAACAATTTGAACCCCCAATCTAATTTTAAAGGCAAAAATGTCCCTGATTTTATTTTGAAGAAAAAGAATGTTATATTTTGTGTTGCAATGTTAGTCCAATTCTTAACGTCCGTTAAAATTCGGACGGAAAAAGTCACGTGCATTGCACTTGATCCACTGATGGCAGGTCGGTGATGGCAGCATCAAAGTTGTACGAAGCAGGGTACAAGAACTTGGGATGGTTGGCTGGAGGATTCAATCGAGGCGTAGATGGTGATTTTCCAGACGTCGAAGGGACTGGAAAATTAGAGTACGCCACCATTGGAGGTGTGTCCTATTTTTTCCTTCAATTGCTCATACTTTTAAGAGCTGTGGGCAATAAGAGCACTAGCTAGTTGCCAAAATGAAAAAATCCCACTCTGAAATCCTTTTACCTAACCTTTTTAGTTTGTAATTCTCATTTTCAAGAAGCTATATTATTGATCTCTTTTATTTTTTTAATTTCAATAATTTTGGGAGGAAAATTCCTAGTTTTACAGTATTAATTTTTCATAAAGTACTTTTATAGAAATGGCCCTATAGGGTCAGCGAAGACAGAAGGGTGTGAAGAGCACTTATTACGAGGCAAATTAACTTTAAAATGGGTTGAGTTGGCAGCAGTACAAATCGTGTAAAAGAAGTCTATCAATTTTCATTTTCAGTACGATAATAACCAGAGAAAAAATTAGAATGTAAAATCCAAGAACCTAAGCTCCAAAGTTCTAATTGCTCTATTTGTCAATTCAGATAATCCTAAATCAAAACAGAATTGTGATTATGGAAAGGCCATTGAATAAGCAAGTAACTAGTTATTGGCTTAGTTTGGTATTGCTTTTCCATCCCAAAATCAGCTTCTGTTTGTAGCAGATGTTGATTTTAGTGTTTGGTAAATCTACTCAAAAGTGTTTTTTGAATAATTTTTTTAAAAATCTACAGTCAAAATCAGAAGTAGTCTAAAGACAACTTTAGTTTTTAAAGTGTGCTAGATAGTATAATTAATGAAATTTTCATAATACCCATAATAATATTTAAAATTGACAATCTTCTCAATCTAAAATTCAGACTCATAATATAATATAATATAATAATAATATTATAACAAATAATATTATAATTATATTAATAACTCTAATATTATTATTTTATCGTATAATATGATATTGTAATTA